GGGCTGAGTTTAAAGTTAGGTTAAAGTTAACGTTAGAGTAGGTTGCGGTTAAATTTAAGGTTAAGGTCAGAGTTAGTGCTCAATGTTAGAGTGAAGTTGAGGGCTCTAGTTACGATGTACGTTATGACGAGTGCTGCAAGCAAAATGCCGCAATTTGCGAACTACTGGCGATCACTCGCAGAGCAGCACTAAGTAGGCTTGCAATAATGACTACCGTGCAGTTTAATCCCAAAGCTTTTTGGTCACGTCAAGGTGCCGGCTTTTTAATCAGCCTCTTTTTGTGACCGCTTATAAAATGTAGATTCTGAAGGAATGACTGCTTAAATAGCATAAATTTTAGTCATGCATTTTGAGTGCCTGTATAAATTCAAATATATATTATAGAACAAATGCCCGAAAATATGTTTTCTTGTGCTCCATTGGTAGCAAATTACGCCTTCTTTAAACATTATACTTAAAGAAAGGATATCTTTCGGTTTAAAAAAAATCTGAATTGCAGAATAAATTTGAAATTTGCAGAATGCCAAACCTGACTTCAAGGTTACCAAGCAGCCCGCTGTCTACATTCTATTTAAATAAAAAGAAATTTTGCCTACGCTTTGTGGAAGAAATCGCATAGTTCTCATAAAAGTTGGCAATAGATGTGGATCTTTCTGTATACATTTTAGGCAGCAGTAGTAAATTAATAGATCTAATGTATTATGAATGAACACCTCACAGTCGTTAGTTAGCAATGTTTTATTGATGATTAACTGGCTAAACAGAAGTTTAAATTTTAACTCTGCGTCTTTGTATGTTTGTTCTGATCGATTCAATCCTTCTGCATACTAGTCCTTTTGCATCCTAAATATGTGTCATGATTATTAACCCAGTAAAGATTTCCGGCGAATTCGGGACATAGTAGTTCCTCATTTGAACCAATTTTATAAACCTTGCCAGCCTCTGGGGGACCCCAAACTGTGACATGGCTCTGACCAACTGAGCTAGGAGGCGCTCACCGAGGCCTGATCTAATTGGATAGTTAGCGCTACTCATGCATTGTTCCTTTTTTCTTCTGGCCAAATCCCGCTGATGATGATGAGGAGGACGACGATGATAAGGAGGTGGAGAATGGTGATGATGATGATGATGATGATGATGATGATGATGATGATGAT